CGGGCTCTCAAGAGGGATTGCTCACGATTCCGATGCATTCACAAGTGATGCTGTTACACACCCATCCCGACGGATCCCGTCTGGCACATGCGGCGTACGTCGCCGGACTCTCTCCTGGAAAACGCATTCGCGTCGGTGATTATGATTGCGAGCTTTTGATGCTCAGTCCGCACGGAGGCGGAGGTAATCCGGCGTATTCGGCAGCGTTCGTTCGACCGGGAGACATCATTCCACAACAGCCGTCACAGGACAGTGCGTCCTGGCTCGAGTGGTTTCTCGATGAAGAAGACGATCCGTGGAGCTCGGTGGCGCGTTGCAGAGAGACACAGGCGTCACGATGCCAGCTACGTTGGCATTTGACTACCCGACAATAACAGCCATAGTGGGATATTTGAAGACAGTCATGGTCAACACGGCGGGCTCAACCACGCCATCGCCATCAGATCGGTTGGGCGCTCATGCAAATAACGCCGAAGACGTGCGCACACGAACGCTGGCGCGAGGTAGAGTCCACACTAAGACTATGCACCCACACGCTCGAGGCTCGTACATGGACGAACACGTGCACCAACAGATGACATACGTGCGCGTTGGTCTGACGTCCTCGTCTTCAGCGGAGAGGTACATCGCAGATGACGCCGTAGGACGGTCATTTGACCTGTGCACGGTGATGCCCCGCGCACGATTGGATCCTGACGAGGCATATCCAGAAGAACGTGAGCCATTTGTCGTGCGTCACACACCAATCCTCCTGCGCATTGAGGACATGGACCACGGCATGCTTGGTATTCATCACCGCGAGGCACAATTGATGGACCCGCAGCAGCGTGTGCTCCTGGAGAATGCATTCGCTGCAGTGCGGACGCCGACACGTGAGGCGTCAACGCACCAATCAACAGCCGTGGCAGTGGGTGCTTGGACATCACAATACGCCGACTTGTGCCGAGTCTACATGCCGGCACCAGGACCATACTCAGGCGTCGCTTCTGCATTGAGCGTGCTTTGCGGTCGCGTGTCATACACATTCGGTCTTCGAGGGCCGTCCGTATGCGTGGATACGGCGTGTTCGTCATCGCTCGTCGCTGCACACACTGCGAGCGCGTACTTGCGTGGCCGAGAGTGCGATGATGCCCTCGTCGCTGGCGTGAGCGTGAATGTCGGTGTGGGGACGTTCCGTGTGGCCGCGGCGGCCAGCATGCTCTCGTACGACGGTCGATGCAAGACTCTAGATGCGAGTGCAGACGGATACGCCAAGGGTGAGTGTTGCGTAGTCCTTCGCGTGACATCGAATATGTCTCTTGACGTGGACGCTCTCGCACGCGATGCGAGCGATCCATCTCCCACCCATATCGCCCTGGCGCAACTCGAGCACACGGGCGTGAACCAAGACGGCCGATCGAGCTCGCTCACCGCTCCAAACGGGCCGTCACAGCAAACACTCATGGCCGACGTGCTTGTTCGCGCTGGTCTGCACGCGCGCACGATCGGCCGGCTGGAAATGCACGGCACTGGTACGTCGCTCGGCGACCCCATTGAGGTCGGCGCCGCTCTTGAGGTTCTGGCGTCGCCGTCGATGGAGTCCCAGCCCTCGAGCGCTCGAGCGCTCACGTTTGAAGGCGCTAAGCCTCGCGTTGGTCACTGCGAACCAGGAGCAGGCGTCGTTGGGCTGCTGTTCGCGACAGCACATGTAACGACGCGCGCCACAGCGGCGCTGGTCCATTTGCGCCAGCTCAATCCTCACGTGGAGGCCGCCGCTCGCCGCCACGCGCAGTCCCAAGGGGCGAGACATCTGGTACTTCCGCGACAAGGCATGTCGCGTCCACTTCACAGCGCATCTACGGCATCGGCTGCGAACGATGCGACAGCATGCGTGCGGCGTTCCGGCGTGAGTGGCTTCGCCTTCCAAGGCACAAACGCGCACGCCATCGTGACTCAAGGACCGGTCGCGAGCCACAATATTCTACATGGGCACACCACTCAGAGCAACACGACTTTACGTGCGTGGGAGCGTCATCGACACTGGTGCGCTCCCGAGAGCCACTGTCTTGTTGCCTCGGTCCATGGCCTGCGGCACGCTGGTTTCCCGACAGTGCTCGCGCGCTCATGCGTGCGCCTTGGCAAAAGTGTAGCTCTCAATGGCGTGCTTGGTAGCACCGTTGGCTTGAAGCGTTTGCTTCCAGGGACCGCGCACCTTGAGCTGTGTCGCGCCATGGGTGAGGCGCTCGTGGAGCGCCCGCATGCACACATGGCGCTGTCGAGTGTATCATTCGTCGCTCCTCTCGAGCTGCACACATCAGCATTGGAGGTTCTCTGCGACGTCACGCCTGTGGGCGTGGCGCGCGTTAGCGTCGGCGCGTCCACGGCCTCGTCGACGGGTTCGCGTCTTCGAGCCGTGCCCAGCGCCCGCAGCACATCCAGGATCGTCCGAGCTCCTGCACACCGAGCGGCCGAGACAGCGTCCGCGCGCGCAACTCTCATCTCCGCCGCCGTTCATCGCCTGCGCTGGTCACACTCAACACCCAGACAAGACGCGCGCTCGGCTCGTTGGGCGTACGGTACCGTGCGCGCGCAGCCGACGTCGACGTTACCGGAAGCGTATCACGCATCGCCTGCTGCGCTCGACGCCGCGCTTCACGCGCTCAGCGCGTGTACGCCGTCGGCGGGTCGAGGAGTGTCGGACGCGAGCCCGTTTGTCCCAGCGACCATCGGCGGTGTCCGCGCGCACGGCGTCCCATCAATCATCCACAGTGCGCGCTTCGCTCTCGTCGGCACCACGCACGTCGATGACGCGCCGCATCGCACCACACGACGCTCGCACCATCACCTCTGGGACACGTCGACTCCTACTGCGCATCATAGATGCTGTGGGGTTCGAGATCTGGCTGCGCGGCGGCTTGGCGGCGTCGGCGTGCCCAATTTGCAGCATCGCGGACACCCACGTGCATCGTCGTCGCAAGCCGCCATCGCCCCTCGTGTACTGTACGGGATCGTGCGACAGTATGCGCGATACGATGCCGCGACGCGCGCTGCTTCACGCGCAAAAGTCGAGTCAGGTCGCCGTGCAAGTTGGGCGCATCATCGGCAAGGCGGTCGCGGCGATGGCTCCATGCTTCCATCCACG